CTGAGTGGTGAAGCATGGTGAGTGAGCAGGAGAAATGGCAGTGTGTGCGTCCCCTGCTGCACGCAGATCGCAACGGACTTAGAACAACGCCCCTTATTAACTCACGGTTCTGTGGGTGGGAAGTCCTGGTGGGTTGGGCTCAGCGCTCTGCTTAGGGCCTCACAGGGGAATCCAGGGGCTTTCTATGGAGGCTGCAGGGGAGCATTCTCTTCCAAGGCCATTCAGGCTCCCGGCAGAGCCTGGTTCCTTGCTGATGTGAGACCGATGGAATTCTCATTATCCTGCCGGCTGTCTGCTGGCGGTGTTCTCGGTTCTTAGACCTGATTGCGGGCTTTGGCTCGTGGCCCTCTTCCCCCACCTTCAAAGCAAGGGAAGTTGGTTCAGCTCGTGTATTTTGAATTTCTTTGACTTCTGCTTCTTCCTGATCTTTTAAGGGTTCAAATAACCTCCTTTTTGCCATGAAACAAGCCATAATCCTGGGAACAGCACCAATGGGAAGACTGTGAGGGGCAGAGTTCGCCTGCACATGCTCAAGATGAGCTTGAGGTACCCTTAAGCCAGACTACACAAAGCAGCAATGGCAAACCTTTTCGATTCCTAGTGCCAAGCTGCAACCCAAAACCCGTTTATTTATTGCAGAACGCAATACTGCAACTAAACCTGAATACTAAGATTTTAGTTTACACAGAAACAATATATTCATGACTGTCTTTTGTCTTAAAAAAAAAAAAAAGCACAATAATATGCATGCCATGGTTTCACCACCAGTGGTACAGGTCTTCGTAGGAGTGATAGGGAAATACTGACTCTATTCTAAATGGTCAGGGAAACCTTTACGGTTCAGCAGATCAGGCATGGTCTGGTTATGTCTCCAAAAGGAAGTATAAACCGTGGCTCCGTGTGGAGAAGGAATGGTTGGAACAGGGGCTGGAAGAGAAACAGAGGGGAAATGACCCTCAGGTGAAAGCGTCTCCAAGCAACTGAGGGTTCTTTTGCTCAGTTCATCTGGAAATCACGCACCAGCAGAGTGCAGCTGCCCGCGGCCCTGTGCTTCAGTGCCTTGGCCGTCAGTGCTGGTGTCCTGGCTCCGCGCTCTGAGTGCAGCTGACCCTTGGTACTTAGTGTGGCAGCTCTTGGCCGTGCCCAGCCACCCCACCAGCACCTCAGCAGCTTGGCTCACAGCCCCTTTGGCAGCTTTCTAGCTTCTAGTGCCTTGCTAGGGTTCTCTGCTGGTCTCTGCCATGGCTGTCACCCATCCCTGCCGGTGCCAGTTGCTGCCAGTCGTATTGGTTGTTGCCAGTCTCTGGAGCTCTGCAGGGCTGGCAGCCCTAGTGTTTGCAACTCTTTTCATTTGTCCTGCTCTGCCCACACTACTGGAGATAAGAATCATGGGTAGATTAGAGGACCCCATGGGGGAGGCCTTAGGTGGACCTGTGCTGTACCTCAGTACTGTGGATCAGTACCCAGGGATCCTCCTCGACCAGCTGCGGGAGTGCAAGGGAGCCCTGCAGCTCTGAGCCCGCTGTGGCCCTGCTGGAAGACATTCACAGAGTGATGGGGGCAGAGCCAACTGCAGTGGCCCTAAGGCAGTCACCTGGGACTAGTCCAAGTGTCAATCCTGTCATGGCCAGGCAGATGTCTCCCAGAGGGCTTGGGGACATCTGGGGCAGCCATAGCTGCCGTGGTGGCGGTTTGGCAGAGCTTTGGTAGAAGAGGCAGCCTGGCTGACAGCTCCCAGGTCTCTGGGAAGACGGTGGGATGAGATCCAGACTGCGGGATCAAGAGGCCTCAGGAGCACCAGCAATGCTGAATGGGACTCGGGATTTGGGGGCTTGGGGACACCTCAGGGTCTCTGCCCTCTCTGGCCTAAGCAGAGAGGGCTATCCTGGTTGCCATTCAAGCCCACCTCCTGTCAGCATGGCCAGGGGTGTCCAGGGTGGCAGGAAGATACTGTCTCGGTTGCCCAGCCACCCCGGGAAGGCAGGGGAAGTGAGGGGCACATGACAGCTGCCAGTGTGCCACCCCCACTTCTGGCAGTCGTGGAGAAAAGGGAAGGGGTGGACTTGGTTTTCTTTTCCTTGTAAAAAGTACCGCGGCTGAAGGGAGTGGAATGGAGAGGGACAGAGAGGGTAGATTTTTTGCATTCTTTAGATAACGTCAAGGGCAGTTCCTCACCAAAACTGGGTGTGTGGGAAAGGAAGCTGTCCACGTGGAGAATGGTGGGACCATTACTTCATCGGGAGAGCAAGGACAGCGGGTTGGGAGAGCAGGGCTTGGAAATCACGGTTCCTCACGAGACACGCTGTTTCGGAGACGTCCAGTTCATCCACTGGTTTCTCTGCCTCCGCTTTGCCCAATGCCTTTCCCCACCTCCCCTCTCTGTAACAACCTCAGTGATCGCTTTAAAACGTGGGTGCTATTATTTCTTCCTGCTCTCAAGTCACGAAGGTCCTGGTCCACAGAGCCCTGCACAGCCAGCCCCTGCTGCCTCTCCGACTGCTTTTCTGACCGGTTTTCTCCTCGTCCATCCTGCTGCTGTTCGGCTGGCCTTCGTCCGCTCCTCAGGCTTTGCAGGCCTGTGCCCGGGTCAGAGCTCGGTGCTTGTGTTTTTCTGGAACACATTTCTTTTAGATATGTGCAAGCTCTCTCTCTTACCTCTTTAGGCTACCGCCCAGATATCATCTGCTCCGAAAGACCATTTAAACCACCCTATGTCAAAATAGCAACTTTGCGCTCTACGTTTGGCCTGCTTTCGTGTTCTCCACAGCACCTCCCTTCAGGGTGGTGGACCTGCGGCTTGCTTCTAACCTCAGACTGTGGCCAAGATGAGGAGCCGCTCGCGCGTGAGCCAGCACAGGGACTCGGTGACCCCAGTCTCGCACACTGCGCCCCTCTCGGGCAGGCCCCCTGCGGCAGTCCCTGCACAGCGGCCTTCGGGGTGGGTGCCCCGCTCATCCTTGCAGGAGCTGAGGCCCTCGGTGACCGGCCCACAGAAAGTAATGCTGCCAAGAGCCGGGAGAGCCAGGGACTCCTCCGAGGAGCCCCCACCCTGGACAGCACCTGGGGGACGCCTTGGGAGAGGTGCGGGGCAGAGGAGGGAGTGAACCAAGCCGCATTCGTGACGCAGGGAAATTGGGAGATAGTTTCACCTTGAAGAGCTGAAACTCTTCATCGTTTTAAACTGCTCTCTCTGTGGTGGTATCACTACACAGCAACTGATGACCAATGTCATTAAATTCCATTATTTTCTCCGATTAGGTTAAACACACTGAGCCTGGTAAGGTTGGTAAGTAGTCAGTTATCTTTAGAATAAAAGTACTTTAGAATAAAACCTTCAAAGAACCCCAAGGCGTACATAATTTGGGGAAAACAGTAGAGGGTGGTGGTGCGAAAGGGCCTGTGGCCCATTTCTTCGCTACGAGGCGCACACTCCCCAGATCTTCGTGGTGTGCCCGGGTGCTGAGGAGAACATCCCCTCCCTCGGTGCCCAGCCTGGCACCCAGGACCTCCGCCCAGGGAAGGCCGTCGCCAGTGCTCTGCCTCAGGCACACACCACATCAGGCCCATACGGAGTCCTGCGCTTCGTCGCCCCTGAGAACCTGCTACAGCCCTTTCCCGCTCTGGAGACTTGCTCTGCTCCAGTCCCTGTTCTCAGCACCTCCACTGTCCTCCTGCAGGTCAACGCAGCAGGTCTCCAAGACGCTAGATGTCAAAACCCAAGTCCTGTCAGCAAGGGAGAGAAGCCGTCCCACACAGCACAACCTGCGAGCTCTCGCCTCTCTCCGGGGAGGGAGGAAAATGTCCTGCCGTCCTCTGCGGTGACTGCTCACCACTGAGCCGCTTGACTGGCCGCCGAGGTCGCTGAGTGGCCACAGCTGGCCAAGGCTACTGGCAAACTCGTGTGCGAGCCGAAGTTCCAACGACTTCTACTTCCTCGAGAAAAACAAGACCGATCCTACTCTGCATATCACAGGGAACTTTTTGTTTTAAGAAATAAAACGACAGCACTACCAAGATTTATAAATTCTACTGAAAGTCGAGGAGAGGCAGGTGAAACTCCCAAGCCGGGACACTGGGCCTGGGCGAGTGAGGTGCTGGGCACAGTGCCCAGATGTGTCTGCTGTGTGTGGGGTGTGCTGGGACATTCTGTGGAGGGATTTGAAGGCACCAGGAAGAGATGTATTAAAATAGAACTAAATGTAGACATTTTAAAACTACACTTTTATTTTTTGCAGTACTGGGGAGGAAACCCAGGGGCTCGCCCCTGCTCACCAAGTGCTGTACCACAGAGCTACATCCCCAGCGTGATGTAGACACTGACTTCTCACAAGCATTTAAAGCTAACTTACACTGTTTCATTTACCACTAGCATCTTAGCTATTATAATTTCTGAGGCTTTTTTCCTTTTAAATGCATTGGACAACATTCTAAGTTATCTACTAAACCAAATCCAGGTTCTTTCACAAAGATATGAATTTAGTTTTACAGCAGTTCTAAAGGGGAAAGAAAATTCCTCTTTTTTCCTTTTGCCATTTTCTCCGATAAAGCTGCATTATTCCTCCCACTCAAACACTGAGAAAGACAATCCAACCACTTCCTCCCCCAGCACACTTACAGGAAAGAATAGAAACCATTCTACCAACTCCAGCTGGGGCTGCTGGAAGCTTTCCTTAGATTTTCCAGTCCTGGGTGCTTCTCAGCGTAGGTGCTTTCCAACAGTTTGGTTTGCTTTTGCTTTAATTCTGTTCTTGCTGCAGAAGCCCTCAATTGTCTAACACCAGTGGCATTTGGTAATCTCAGCCAAGTTTAATTCCAGTTCAGCAGCTTGGAAGCGCTCAGTGACTGTGGAAGGTTTTGTAAACCTCCTTTGGAGCAGTGGGAATTTTCCCAGGAAGCATGAGTCAGGCTCCCTTTCTCACTCTGAGCAAAATAGAGTGATTTATTTCCTTTATACTGAAGGCAAGCGAAAAGTATGACCCTTGCCCTTGTCCCCTCCCCAGCACAAGTTACCTCTGCAGTGTCCTGGGAAGGATTGGTTGCCTTAGGAAACTGTCTGTATGGTGCTCCAGATCATTTCAGATGGTAAGCAGATACATGTTTAATTTTTATAATTATGCATCCATTTTAGTGTTCATTAGGATAATATAATAACATGGCAACCCATAATTTCATGGATGCAGTTGCTTAAGATTAGGCTAGATAAAGACAAACAAAGGTCCAAGGAAAATAAGAAGTAAATGATAATATGATTGGCATGCAGATGCGGTCAGAGCCTGAAAATGGTAGATAAACAATGGAGTATAGACTGCTAATGTTTTAGAAACTTTGGCCAAGTAAAATACACTGGAATTTGTCTCAAGACAACTATTCTGAATTCAGTCTTGCTACTGAACAGCTGTGTGCTTTCAGCAAATTTATAGATTTCTCTGAACCTTAAGTATCTTCCTTTATAACACGAGGATAATTCCTACCATATAGAGCTGTTGAGAGAAACTAAGCTACTGGATTTAAATCCGGGTTTTGTGACCAGCATGGTGCTTGCTCATTAAGTTAGGCACTTTCTTATCTGATTCCTTCTGACTCTGCTTATTGCCATGTCTTCAGTAAAACTCTCATAGACATAAATCGAGAAAGCAGCTTTCCCGTCCAGCGCTGGGGTCAGAAAATGTGGGTCACTTTGAGAAAAGGAAAGTCTGATGAATAGGGCAGTGTTCTAGCAGGAGATCTGGTTTTCTTCTTGGATTTACTGCAACAAGTGACTTCACTTCCAAATCAACCATAAAAACAAGCATGTGATTACCGCCTTGTGCTCGAAAGAGGAAACCTCCTCACTTTTTCTGGTGTTATCATGGGACTGGTTTCAGCACCAGGAGGCTGTGACTGAATTCAGCCCAGGTCAGCAGACACTTTCTCAGGACTTCGTCTACATCAGGCACTGCGTTGTTCTCAGATGGAAGAGTGAGGAAGGCAAGGTTTCTGCGTTTTCCTTTACTCACTCAATAAATATTTATGGGGTACCTACTCAGTAATAGACTCTGCAGGAGTCTGGGGAATCGAACAGAAACAGCTCCTGCTTCCACAGGACGGAGACTGTGGTGATCATTACAGGCGGGGTTGCACTGATAAATGTTTAACCACCAGTCCTCAAAAAATATGTACATGTGCACTGTATTTTACGAACATAAAAGTTGCATAATTCACAATTCACAGATCATAATGAATGGAATTCTCTTTATTGTAGAATCATTATGGCCCACTGATTCTCACAAGGATTCCACTGAGTCTGGCTGAACTGTGATACCCACAGCCAACTCCAGCTGCCACGGCCACGTGAAGGTAGTTCCCACTTGAGTGTTGATTGGTATTTTCATTTAAGAGGAAGATGAAAGTGAAAAAAGAAAGAGGAATGGCAGAACTTCACAATTTGTCAATGCCTGAGTCATTTCTTCACTGATTGCCATAATAGCTTTCAAATAGGAGAATGTTTCAATTTTTTTTATTTTTTGAGACAGGGTCTTGCTGTGTAGTCCAGGTTGGCTTTGAACTCACTATGTATCCCAGGCTGACCTCAAACTTGTGGCAGTCCTCCTGTCTCAGCCTCCTGAGGGCTGGGATTATAGTTATGTGCCACCACACCTGACTTGGTCAGTTTTTTGTGTTACAATCTAATTGCTCCATGCAAACACACTTTTAAGTTTAATTTTCATTATTAACATTTACTCTATCACTTTGAGTAGGCAGTGGAAAAGACAGTATCAGTCCCTTGCTAGTAGTATTTTCTGATTTCCCTGGTGTAAATATTCCCACCACCACCACTTTTAAGCTACTAATATGACTTCACCGAACGTGGGTTTAGAAGGGTACACAGAGCACTTTTTATGATGTTTCCAGCACAGAGACCCACTACATGGAAACAACTGTAAGAAAATAAATAATAGTATGCTCACTGAAAAATTCAGGAGTGCCGAGCTTTGAACATTTATTACCTTTGTTTTGAATATAATCTATTTCATGGCACAATGTAAGGAACACGGCGAGCTTATTTAATTTTTAATAATCTCTTAACAAGTGGCTCACAGAGTTCCTGAAAATAAAACCGTCTATTGTTGCAAGCCAGTGCGTGCCGGCTCTCGCCTTGTGGGAGGTGTTATAAGATAGCATCTTGAAATATTAACATTTGGGCTTTTCTTTTCCGTACTTTCTTGTGCTTGATTTTCTGCCAGTAGCTCAGAGGTGAGTTCCCTCGAGAAGCAAGACTGATGCAGAGAGAATGAGGACTGCGAGGAACAGAGGTTCTGATGGCAGTGGACTGAACACGTGCATTTGTCACTTGCTTCTCCTGAAACCCGAGCAGAGTGACCCCGAAAAGGCCTATTCGAGGAGGACCTGGAGAATGGGAGAGGAGATCCTGTAATAAAGTGCGGAGCTGGTGGAGGGGCGTGTGTGAGGACAGGTGCTCCAGTTAGAAAATCCAGCTCTGAACTCCCTGAGCAGGAAGGTGATGAGAAGGGGACTCAGGCCTGGAAGACTTGGAGTTGGGGGATGAGAAAATAAAATGGGAGGAAATCTCTTAGAAAGTAGGATCGCATAATAAAAACAGAAATGGAAAAGAGATGAGAAGTGGAAAAGTAGGAAAATGAAAGCCCGGGTTCAGCAGCAAAATGATGTTTCAGAAAGAAAGAAAACACAGAGGGAGGTGATGAGCAAACTCAGAAAAATTTTCAATGGGAAGAGATTGCAGAGTGGGAGAGCCCGCCAGATGCTCAGCGCAGTGGGTTTAAAAGATCCCTGCCGAAGCACGTCCTGAGAAAAAGGACTGCACAAAGGACAAAGCAGAGTTCCTAAACACTTCTAGAGAGGCCACAAAAAAGAGCTAGAATTGAGCCTGGCACAGTGGCACACGCCTGTCATTCCAGCACTCGGGAGGCTGAGGCAGGAGGATTGCCTTGAGTTTGAGGCCAAACTAGGCTTTATAGTGACCTGAACTACACAAGAAGACCCTGTCTGTCTCAAAACAAACAAACAAACAAACAAAAAAACCACACACAAAAATAAACTAGAAGTAGAAAGGAGTTGTACCAAACATGTACACTTTTTCAAGAATATCTTCAGATGGCGGGTGTGGTGGTGCACACCTGTCATCACAGCAGTCTGGGAGGCTGAGGCAGGAAGATTACAAATTCAAGCCCAGCCTGGGCAATTTAGCTGAGACAGGAGGTAGGGCAAAGCTGGCTGGGGAAGTAAGTGGAATCTGTCAATTACAAGACCCCAGGCCCAAATAACTCCTATGACCCTGTACTTCTCTCGGGTTTCCACGAGATGTGGATAGCACAAGAAAGAAGACTCTCTTTTATAACTCCTCACACACTCAGGTTGCACTTTTATTTTTATCCTTTCTCTTGTTCAGTCCAAGTTCACTCTGCAGAGCCAGTTTCTCTCTTCCCCTTTCACCCATCACTTTTCAAATAAACTTCTGCACGCGTGAGAGAATGAGAATGTGCTCCATAAAGCACAGGAACAAAACCGAAAAGAAAGATGATGCAGAGAGGAGACCCAACATGAGGAGGAGGGAACCTCCAGGAGGAGCAAGCAGTGTTATAGACAGCCAAGCTGGGCAGAAATATTAAGGCAGTCAGAAGGGGCTGGGCCCTCGAGAAAGTGAGACACGTCCCAGCTGTGGCTGGAGACACATCTTCTGTTAGAACCCAGGCCGCAAGACAAAGACGAGGTGATCAGGCCTGTATACATCCTCCAAGGACAAATATCAGGCCTAATGGAGCCTAGTCAGACATCGGTCACCGGGTGGGTAACCAGGACCCCGGACCCCTCGTTTCCTAAGAGAAGTCTTTGTTCTCTCCGTGCCTGCTCCCTGCAAGACTCGATTCCCCACTGGATCAGTATTGCCTAAGCAACTATGCTTGTGCCCTTACTGGTTAATCAGAGCCGTAAGCCCTATCGAACCCACGTGGGTACTGCTCGGCAAAATTTCCCTGTAAAGTGAGGACCCCGGGCAACCCACTGGACCTCCTCCTGCCTCTGGGAAGCTGTCTCTGTCCCTCTCAACAAGTATCCTCCTGCTCTTAACCTCCGTTATTCCTAGATCTCATTTTTCGACTTTTGAGGACACAAACTTGGCGTGTCAGACGTCGCACAGGCAGAGTTGTAGTATTTTCCTTGTTCTCTACTTGGGGTTTCTGGTATCACCCTGTAACAGAAGGAGATCCCAGCATGAGCCCTTCTCCCTCCGGGAGGGCAGGCTGGGAACAGAGGGCGGGAAGAGGGACGCTGACGCCGGGGTGAGAGACAGCCTGCCGCACTGGCCACTAAGCGCAGGTGGCGCTGGCGGCCGCGTAGGGAAGCCTTAGCTGTGGGTGCACAGCAACCAGGCGAACACTGGAGGGGTGTGGCTATGGATTCCAGGAGAAAAAGAAAAGTTGTGTAAGCAAGGAGGTGTGGAGGGCGCCTGCATGTCCTGCCGAGTTGGCTAGGAGCTGTAGAGTAGCACAACCACACAGGGACCGGGGAGCAGGAAGGGAAGGCGTGTGAACAGGGGAGCGGGGACAGCTGAGTAATGGCTCCATGTTCACCTTCCCTTGCAGAAACCGTCTCCAGGAAGCAGCCACACGAAGATCTTCAGGAGGCAGAGGCAGGAAGCAGCAGAAATGGAGCATCGTGGGGAACAGCCTTTGAGCAGCAGGAATCTGGGTGAACCAGGAGGGAGGGCTGCCTTTCTGCACGTCATCCTTACAGAGCCAGTTGACTTCCAAAACTCCTCAAATGTGAACTGTTGTTGGAAACAAAGGAGCAAGCAACATTTAAAAGAAATTCCCCAACCTGAAAATGAAAGGTGCGCTGTAAGGAAGCTGGTGCCCAGCTATATATGTTACAATGAGAATATGTGTTATTCACCAACAAATGCTTAATGCTTTAAGTTTGCAATTTTCATCTTTGCAGATACTTGAAGAATATACCAAATAATTGGGAAGAAGCACAAAATTGGTCATTCTTACTCTTACAATGTCCTTTCCTTTTGTCCTTACAACTCAAAGTAAATTTCAAATAATATTTTTACAACGGCCAAAACTTCAGAACCGAAGTCTCACCAGTTTAACAACATGGCCACAACCTACATTTAATTATTTTAATGACACAGACTCTTCACCCTGAACCAAGACCTGACAGCTGCTGGCCCGGGAGGAGCCAGCTGGAGGCACCCGGCCTCGTTTCCCAGCACTCAGGCCGGCTGGGATCTGGTCCTCAGCCCGATGCTTGCTCAGGAGTCGCCGCCTCTGTCCCTTCCTCCTGGCCATGCGTCCCTCAGCATCCGGATTTGGTGACATTTGCCTTCAACTCTTTGACTCTTGGTCCTCAGCTTTCCCAGCCCCACTCAGAGCCAAGAAGAGATTCCTCTGTGCTGACCAAACTTGTCCGAAGATCTCCTTTAGGGTCTGGAAATCCACAGTGCTCTAGTCGTGCTCTAGGTAGTGGAATTGTTGGTCATTCTTACTCTTCTTCCTTGTGCTAATTTTTCCCTAATAAACACAAGAAAAGAATAACATACCAGATTTGTTTGAAATGTTTCTGCTTTTCATATCCTCTTTATAGAAACTTTTTTTTTTTTTTTTGAAATTTTGAGACAGGGTCTCACTAAGTTGCTAAATTGCCCAAGCTGGGCTCAAATTATCCTCCTGCCTCAGTCTCAGAGATGGGATTATAGGCACTGCTATTTCCCATCCTCTTTAACCAGAGCAGCCCAACTTCCCTGTTTTTTTTTTTTTTTTTTCCTTTTACTTCTACAGGCAGATTTTATTTGTATCTTTGGTTCATGAGTAACAGTTGTATGTATTTCTGGGTGTCAGTGTGAAACTGCAGCACATGTCTATGGGGTTCCTGGTCGGCTCAGGGTAATGAGCATCTCCATCTCTATACGTTTTCTTCAAGCTTGGAGTCTTCCAGCCACCCCCTGGTAGTTCTTCCCAGAACATGTAACAGGTTACGGTGAGCCCCACTCACTCCGTTGTGCCGGGGACACTAGAATTTACTCCTTCTGTTTAACTTGCCCAGCCTCCTTCTGTGCTCTTTCTCCCCTGCGATTCCCAATCTCCAGTAGTAAGATTTTACTTTAACAAAGGATTCCTTGGCAAAAACAATATATTAAGTATTTCACTGAATCCTCAGAAGAACTCAGCAGAGGTCTAAGATCAATTTTTAAAATTCCATTTGCAAAATAGGCACACAAAAGTAACAAGATACTGACTGGTCGACCCCTCTTTCATATAAGAGTTAGCTTGAAATGTGAGACTAGGATTCATTGCATTTATGGGGCAAATTGGGAATTCAAGTTTTTAATTTCCCACTTTTACCAAAGTTCAAGCCCCAATTAAGTTTTTCATGTCTACGATGTTCAGATCACTCCTGATCCTCCTGCGGCCACCCGTATCTCATTACTCCAACGGAGGATTAATTTTTCCAGCCTTGATACCTTGGTGATCATCTTTTCTAAATTAGAAATTGGGATTTATAGTCTAGCAAAATATTTTTCATTCAAATATATGTTTGTTTACAGGAAAAATCTTCCAGGAACATGATAGTCAAAATCCAATAGAGGAATGACCTCTGTTATGGGCAAACAAAGAAAGAAAGAAGTCATGCTCCTTTTGGAAAATCTGGGACATCCAATTGTGAGCAGAATGTGCGTCCCCCTGGGGACATAGGTCGCTGTCAGTATTTGCCAAAGCCTTAGCTCAGCCAGGTCCTGGGAAATGCTGCTCAGCTTTGAGAACAGAGCTGTGCTCTAGAGGAAGGCCTGTTTCATGGAACATCTCCCTTCCACCACTCGCAGCATCTCTCCCCGCGGTGTCAGCAGAGAACAGCCACAGTTATTACTGTGCGCGTGTGTCTGTGCCCGGTGTACAGTTGTCCTAAGGCAGTAAGACTGCCCTGGTTGGAGACCTGGACATGAGGAGCAGGAGTTCTTAACCTGAATAGGAAAGACCTGGACTATTCCACTGGCTGAGAGCGTCAGCCAGTTACTGCGCTGCTTTGCACTAAACTAGTAGCCTTTAGATTAAAGAAAAACGAACAGAAACTTTAAAAACAAAACAGATACTAGAAACTCAGAGGTCAGCGAAGGAAATGGGTATTAAAAAAAGAATTGAAAGAAATTCATTGTAAAATAATAAAAAAATAGATATATTTTAAAACCCCCTGAAACATATCAGCTGGAGAGAATTATTTAAATCTTGATATATAATTTTCTGGACTTGCTCTGCATATATACATAGGTAGAATAGAAAAAGAATATATTCTATTTTGTAACCTAGCTTTTAAATTCATCAACGTGCCATGGGCATATTTCTCTGTCTGCAGGTAAAGCATTAATATGTCATAATAGTTGCTATATAGTACTTTACTACATGAATTTTTCATAACCTACATCTTTATCTGGTGTGTTTCTGATGTTTTACTTTTTTTCTACACAGGATCTCACTATGTAGCCCACACTGGCCTGGAACTCACTATGTAGCCTGCCTAAGGTGGCCTCATATTCAAAATCCTCCTGCTTCAGTGTCCTGAGTGCTAGAATTGCAGGTGTGTGTCACTGCACTTGGTGATTTTTGGCATTTATAAACAGTAAAATTATAAACATTCTTAACCAAAATCTTGCGAAGCCTTTATCAACTCCTGGAGACAGACTCTGGTCAGTAGAATCATAAGGTGTGTTGTTTAATTTTTGGTGACAGTGACAGTTCCAGTAACTAGTACTGGGTTTCAGAAAAATGGAGGATTTGTAGACTCACATTCTTTTAATCATTTTTGATAACTATTGGAGTATTTTCCAAATCAGAATGCGAGTCTGCTCAAAGATAACTTTAGGGGATTTTATTCTTTCTTAACCATTCTCAGCTCCCACACTCAGCCTGTTTCAGGGTCCGCAGAACAATGAGTAGGGGCCCTGTGCAGCGCTCTCCTCCCCTCCATCCTTCATCGTATGGGGACTCCCAGGCTGCCCCTCAACCTGAGGGTGTGGGGACCACAGTGGGGCAGTTGCGGGCTCACTGTGCTGCTCCCTGGTACTCAACATTCAAAACCATTGTTTTGTACACTGGCTTGAAATTATTTCACACGGACAGGTAACTCTGGCTCCTGTCTTTGCATCTAGGTCCAAAGTGAAGTCTCTGTCTCAACTGTTAGCTATGGAGTAGCTTTGCTGGGCTGGTACTTGGGCCTGAGCTTGTGCCGGGCAGAGGTGCCAACAGCAGGGAGGCTGGAAATGCCAGGGACCTAATGCCAGGGATGCGAGAACCTGGGCTGTAAACACTGCCCAGGACAGAAGACGTCTGGGTCTCCCTGTTTCTCTTGCAGATCTTCCGTCACTGGTTTCATGCTTTCTTCTATAGATGACCTGAATCCATGAAGGGAATGTAGCTGTCAGAACCTGGAATTGATTGTGATCTTTCAAGCTTAGTCATTTTATTTTATTTTATTTTGGTACTGGGGATTGAACTCAGGACCTTGTCCTTGCCAGGCAGGCGCTGTGCTGCTGAGCTACATCCCCAGGCCAAGCTTAGTCATTTTAGAACTCAGTCTCTCTCTCTCTCTCTCTCTCTCTCTCTCTGTCTCTCTCTCTCTCTCTCTCTCTGATCCACCCAGGGCCTCACACACAGTAAGGAACGCTGCACCACTGAGCCACATGCCCACACAGTGAATCTCTTTACCTGTCTCATACGGACAGGTAAATCTGGCTCCTGTCCTTGCGTCTAGGTCCAAAGTGAAGTCTCTTGGAGGCACCTACGTGACCCTTCCTCTCGTACCTCTCCCTGCTCTCTCCAGCACTTGTTCCCCTTCCCATTTCCAAAAGCTCTTTTGCCATTTTTCCTTCGAGTCTCTGGTTTTTTTTTTGTTGTTCCGGTACCGGGAATCGAGCTCACGACTTCGTGCTTGCCAGGCAGGCACTGTGCCGCTGAGCTAAATCCCCAGCCTGAGTCTCTGTTTTTTAACCCCCTACCTTCCCCCTTCCTCCATCCATGGTCCTCTCGCCTTTTGTGAAAGCTCACTCCATTTCTCTCCTTCTATTGACTGTCCTTTATTTTGCCTCTTTACTTTTCAATTTCTCACCTAAGGGAAACCATGTGATAGTTAAGCTGTGTGTCTGATTTATTTCTCTCAACCTTACGGTCTCAAGGTGCACCCATCACATTCCACCGCGAACACGGCTGGAGCCTGTCCATTGCCCCCAACCTTCCCCGACTTCTCCTTCCCCGAGACACCGGTGCCACCCACTTGGGTCACTGACAAGTCTTCTCTTCAGCTTCCTGGCTTCCAAGGTGGGTGCTTGTGTCTGTCACCCAGCGTCCATTTCTGACCCTTCTTGGTAGCAGTAACTCAAACTATCTTTTGGGAAACAGCCCTCTTCTTTCAACCGTGTAGCTCAAGTGGGGTCTAACCTCACCGTCACCTCCAGGAGTGGGTTCTGGGTGACCAGCTACTTAATGAATCCCCACTGAATTGACAAGCTCACTGATTCACTCAAAGAATTCATCTTCTCCCTCAAGCACACTGATCTCTTGAAGGCAATAAAATATGTGTTGGGGCTTCCGGAAATGGAGTTTCTTGCTCAGAGCCAGACGTTCTCTCTCTCTGCTCAGCATGAACAGAGGGAAATGGAAACTGCTTGGGTTATGGGGAGGGTGACCTTCCAAAAGAGTGAGACCATGCAAAAATCCAGCAAGAGAAGCGGAAAGAAACCATGACACAGTCAGCCCCACCTCTCAGCTTTCCAGTTACGTAAGGCAGCAAATCCTTCAATTGTTTGCACAGGTTTGGACAGATTTTCTGTAATTTATAGCCAAAGTAATCCAAATACTGTATGTTCCTTCTCAATCAACTTCCATTCTGAATTCAAAACTGTTCATGTCAGTTCTCAGAGAGAAGAATAGACAACTGCTAGACTGTGAAATGAAAGATCCTCGGTACCCAGCTTGTACGTCGTGAGGGTAAGGATGCAGGTCAAGGCTCCGTGCGGTACGTATCACACCCGTGTGTAGGCAGCTCGAACAAGGTGCGACATGGAAGGAGCCCCGAGCAACAGCTTATTCTCAGCTTCAGACCTTAAAGTCTAAATGACTTCACACAGCCCGTAGTGCTGTTTCCTCTCACGGTACTGAGACAGCCACCAAAAGTCTCTGGCGCCCTTCCTAAGCCTTGCGTCTGTCATGCACTGCAGCTCTGCTCTGGTATTGTTTTGTTGCTATTCTTTATGGAGGTAGCTTCTGTTCTTCCTTTGGTCACTTTCTTGGGGACACTTCCCTAATCTCACAATCCAGGTCATCCATTTCCATAATTTCCTTTTCCAATACACATTGCATTTGTAATTACTTGTTTTGCATCTGCTTTCCTTTCTGAAAATATATACTGTCTGGGGGCAGGATTGCCTGTCATACTCAAAGCGTATTCCCAGAGTCCAGCTCAGCACACTGAATAAATCAATAGACCAAGAGTGAACACTGAACTCAGCATCACAGGGAAAGGAAAATTGTGTATAAGAGACAACGGCCTTC